GGGGGGTATTGGGTAGCCGAAACAAAGATGGGGTTATGAGTAATGGGGCAGTGGGTGGGGTGGGCAGTGAGACATTTAACCCTGGGATCAGGTTATATTCAAGAGATGACGAGAAATGATACGGCGTTTTATTTTGTTTTCACAAATTGGTTGGGAGGGAAAATATTTTCTTTAATGATTTGAAATTTGATTGATTGCAAGGGAGCTATAGTGGTAATGTTACCGGGTCGATATGACCCGGGGGATGACGAGGATTCGAACGCCTGTTGCTACTGTAGCCGTCGTTTTTGTTGAGCCGCCTGTTGCCGCCTTGCTTGCCGCTAACACCGAAAACGAAGGAGGGGGAGGGGGTAGGGGCGTATCTTGCTGATGCTGGTTATGTTACAGCTTATTATGTTATTATCCTAGCCAATAGCTTAATCATAATTTGAATCTGGTAAAATACCGAAAGACATGTGTAATACTTTTACGTTTAATGTCATCGAATCTGTTATTATTAAATGTTCTCTCCCTTACCGACCGAAACGCTCTTGATCTTCCCAAAAAAATTTAAAAAATTGGGGGCTTGAGGATTTTAATTATTACGGCAGAATGAACTGCAGCCTAAGCACAAATGATCTTTCTATAATTCGATTGAGAGTTCAGTTGATAAAGAATACATATTTTTGCGCCTGGTTGGAGTGAAAACGTACACATTTTGAAATGTATGATATATCATTGTTATTTTATACACATTGTGTGGATAAGTACATATATGTGTATTTGGGGTGGGGGAGGGGGCATCTGAAAGCCAGGTAAAGCCGGCTAGTACATGTATCTATGTAGGCGGGATGCTTTTATGGTCGGATGATTAGAGGGTATTGCTGGCTATGACTGGTCCTACTTCCATCTTATCAGTCTTTATTTCTAGATTGCTTTTGTTTCTGTCTTACCCGTCTGTTATTTCATGATTGCTTCGCTTTCCGTCTATCATTTTGTTATTTATTCGTTTTAGATGGTTCTATTTCTTTGTTGCCCTGCGCTGTTTCAGTCTCCCCCTTCATCCCCCACCCCCAAAGCACCCTGAATAGCTATTGTTGAATTTATGTTCCTCTCGGGAAAGCATCGAAGGCCGCTTGACGTGCATTTCCCTCATGCACAATTGCCCTTGGTTCCCCACCCACAATATCAGACTTTTCCTCACACCCAAGTTTCCTCACACAATATCAGACTCGTCTATTTCTGTCTCCTCTCGGCGTTTTGGCTCCCTGATCCCCTGTATCGACTCGGTGGGCGGTATCGATTTTCCCCCGTGTACTACAGCCTCGTAAGTTTGTGGTTTGCAGTTTGCCGGCAGGGTTTGCAGCTGTCGGAGAGGGAAAAGGTTGATGTATTTCTTTGAAGTTCTGTCTTCGCCGCTTCTACATCCTTGCTCTTGTTTCTGTTTGTTCCTGCTTTCCCCCCTCCCTTCTCCACCCTCCCCGTCCAGCACTATGAATGACCGGGAATATGATGATATCATTCTCTTTTCTCAAATTTACCCTTGACTTAGTTCTCCAGTTCAGTTATGTTGTGTTTATATTGGTAGAACTATCCTGTTTCAACGGGAAAGGGGTGGTTTAGAGTAAACTTTCTCGATATGGTCATTAATTGTCTATTAAAGGGCTGTTTTAGTTGAGGGTCATGGCAGTATGGTAATAATAATGATTTTTATTCAGTCAATCTGGCATAACTTGAGTTTTTTTACAAGATGCAAGTCACTTTTTTTTCTTTATTTATATGGACGTTGGGGGCTGTGTTATTGCTCACACATAATTCTTTTCCAATCTGACAATGAAATGACACGACTTTTGCCATTGTCTTATCTACTCATATGTTATCGACGAACAGAAATTCTTAACCTCGATGTCTGTTTCAGCATCGCTCCTACTAATTTTAGCTGATAGATCGAGGTGGATCATCCTAAATACCACCATACTGTTCTCAGCTATGTGGCTTTTATAAAATTGCATAAAGTCCTCTTTGTTGTGAGTTTTGTGTGAGGGTCTATTTACTTTCGGTTTCAGGGGCTGGCGAAGAACTCAAATTTTGGAAGACCTAGTCTTCAAAGCTTGGCGCGGATGATAAGGGTTTCCTAGTGAGGAGGCAATGAATGGCGAATTCATATAGTTCTGTTCCACGATGATAAATGAATAGAAGCGTTGAATATTGAGAACAATGGTCCCAGCTCATGTTGGGAAACTGCTGTAAGTGCTATGGCCTGGTGGTTATCTGCTCCTCGCAGAAACGTTTTTACAGCGGCGGGGGAAAAAAAAGGTCGGTTTGTTTTCATGGTGGAACAGGCCCGTGTCTTACCGTTATGTGGCCGGGATGGAGGGAGCAATCTCCTCACATACCTGTCATACTGGTCACGTCTCACACTGGACACTTTGTTCGGAAGCACGCGTACTTGGTTGACATCAACGATGCGTGTGCATGAGTGTTTTTCTAATTTCTTCTTTTTATATTTTTATAATGAGTAACTGGCGAACTGTTTGGCTGTGACTGATCGTGCACGTGCTTAATAAGAAAGTACGCTTTTTTTGCTGGCCCGGATAAACCCCCCCCCCCCCCCCCCACACACACAAAAATGGCAAACATTAAAACAAAATGACTAACCCTAATGTCACACATGACACAAAAGCCTTCAAAATTACTCTGCTTCTGCTGCGCGTTTCTAAACACCTACCCCCGCCCCGGCCGCCCCCAACTCCTTTGATAATGTTTACTTGCTCACACGAGTCACAGATACTGTTTGTACTTTCACGCAAGCGTTCATTCCTCTACTGTCCTTCAAGACGATGGGTTGACGGTCTGAAATCACTCTCTTCTTTTTCTTTACTATATATTTTGGTTTTTTGTTTGTTTTTTGTTTGTTTTTTGTTTTGTTGATCATGTTTTCTCAGCGAAATGTGGACGTATGTTGCTGACTCATCGTCGAGGTTATAATCTCGGCAACAGCATGTCGGTGCGGGTGGTTGGAGGGCCCGGCCCGACTAGTAGGTCTTGCTTCTCATCTGTTTCGTTTTATTGTTTCTGTCTGTCTGTCTGTCTTGGTGGGTGGTTAGCGGGTGCCCTGGTGCGGTTTGTTCCTTCTTCTCTATCAAACATTTATCGTCCTCACCTCCCCTCCCCCCTTTCTTTGTAACTTTCTAGCACAACTAGTTACACCTCTAATTTTTGGCTCATACGTGACCTATACATGTTGCAAGTGCTGTAAAACTCTTACTAAAATAAAGCTAAACAGTCAGTGTCTGCCTCGCTTCTTCCCTTAAAACTAAAGGGCCGCTGTTATGTGGATGTGTTTCTGTTTACTCCGACAACAGCATGTCTAAGCGCACACACGGAGTACATTGTGCGACACCCGAGGAGACGCGTCCGCGGTGTACTTTCTTCTCGGTGATAGCAAATCGAGTGTGTACCGACTTCATTCGTCGACAATATAATAGCGCGGCTAGGTCCCAACAGGTAAAAGTTGTCTAGGCAGCAGTTTTATGTTCTCGGCTGTGATAGCCTGTCACCGTATCACCGGCCGTGCTGTACGGTAAGGTCGCGAGAGGGAGGGAAGGTGTGTG